GCAGGGTTGGCCGTGCCCCGGAGCCGGCGCCCCCACTCGATCGAAGCTGCTTGCTGGAAGAAGAGACGAAGGTTTTCGGTGCTCCCCACCTTTAGTTCTTTCTCCCAGCAGGTGCCGCCGCCTGTCTGTGAGCTGTAGGCCTCACTGAAGCTGAGTGGTTTCCATTGGCTTTGAAAGAGCTTTAGAAAGCACATCCCTTAGATCCTGTTGACACGTCAGTTTTTGAATAATTAACCTAAAAGTGCTTTGAGCTTCTTTATCATGCGTTATCTCTCTTCTGACAAAGAATAAAGTGTTTACATGCCTGGCCTCGCTGGCCTGAATAACCTAACGGTGTGGGTGTGAACGCACAGCATTCCCCTGCTGTGGGTTCGTACCCCATCCAGAGTGAGGGGCAGCACAAAACCCACAGCCTCTTCAGGGTGCTCCCAAACTGTCAGCTGTTCATTGCTCTGCCGTTTAGGTTATTTATGTTCTGAGCATATACATCAGGGATAATATCATCTAGTGCAGTCTCTTAAGAGATGAGCAGTCAAAAACAGTGTTCCTTTTCCACTCTGTTACAGATAAGTTGCAGGTTAATACTGAAGGAGCAGAGGTTCTCATGCTTGCGTGAATTTCTCCATGTGAAGTAATGGGCTGTTAAATTGAGCTCAGAGTGCAGTGAACTTCGGTTAGTGGTTTGTAAATGGAGAAAGATAGTTTGAAAGAATCTGGTTATTTGTGAACACTGAAGCTTAGGCGTCTGCCTGGCACACTCTGTTCCTCAGGCCCGGAACAGAATGCATTGCTTCTTTGCGAAGGCTGGCAGCTTACTGTAAACCGGCCTCTGTCACTGATTAAAGCTGAACTGATACATGTCTCTATGTTTGGATTTGGTGATACTTCAGGAGCATTTGTTAATGCTTAGAACTGCCAGAGTTACCAAAATCTGCCAGCAGCATAAGACACCCTAATTAAGGTCTCACTGGGATACTGGAACTGGGCAGTGTGACTACAATACCTTGTGGGTGAAAGCTTCACCAGTGTTTGGAAGTGCTGCCAGTTGTGCCTGATCATCAATGAATTCAGTGGCAGAGCTGTTGTGAACTCTGATGTACAGCTTGGGATAAAAGGCACTTGGGTAGACCTGGCTCCTCTGTAGTATCTCTTCTTTATTGACAACTGTCTTTTCTGCCTGGCAAATTATTCTTAAAAATAACTTTTTTTTCTTTTCAGTGCAGTTAGTGCTTGTCATCTTGAATTGCAGCCTGCTTTCTCAGTATCTTAAGCAGCTGCTTTATCTTGCTCAATGCTTTTCAAGTACTGGGACAGGCTTATTTTCAAATCAGGCAGCCATTTAAATGTCAGTTCTGTTGTGACTGGCTTAATAGTAGATAACTGATGCAGTTTGAAACAACCAGCTATGCATTATTCCAGTCTTCAACTATAACTTAATTTTTTTTTTTTTTTATGATTGCTGGACTAAAATTGAGAGAAAGGGACGCAGAGCAGCCTCTGCTAGGCCCCCACATGCTGTCAGTAAGAGGAAATGTCTTGAAGTGTGAAAAGGCTTATGAAACAGCAAGCGCCCCTATTTCTCTGGCAATTTCTGAATCCTTAAATTGAATATCTGTAGAAAGCTTTTTAACAGCCTATGTGAATATTTTCTACAGCATTTTTTTTTTTTAAATTGGTAACTAGGACAAAGATACAGGCTTTCACAGACGTTATTGCTGGATTAAATTCTCAACTCCACAAGATGCTCAGAATGTGTTGCAGAAGGACTCCCACATACTTGAAGGTGCCAAGGTAATGTGCTAATTCCTTTAATGAAGTAACATAATGAGTTGAGCTCTTTAATTTTTGCCTTTGGTTGGACACGGTAACATCAAAATACTGGCACAGTCATTCCAAGTGTGATTAAGCATTTTGCCACTTGGTGTGCTTGTAGTGTTTTTGAAATCATTAACGCTTTTGTTTACCCTCCCCCCCACCCCCAACTCATTATGATCTGAGATCATACATCCATAGATACCACAGAGATCACATACCAGAGATCAAAACCTCCTACTATGTTAAGCTAAAGGAATACAAATGTGTTAAAACTGTTCAGGAACTGCTGTGCAACTAGTTCCTGTTTGTAATACAAGTTTATGCAGGTGGTTTCCAACATCTAATTTGGATGTTGGGTAGCAGAGGGAAGATGACAAAGAATGTAAAGCTAAGCTTTACACTTTGGTGACTATTTTCCTTCTTCAGCTATAATTTCTTACAGGAAAATTCAAGTGCCTGCTTTCATATCAAGATGCATTCAAACTTTAACGTTAGAGTAGCTTTTTATTTTTTTTTTTACTTGCTGTCTCTAATATTTTATATGTTAGTAAACGAAAAGATAATGACACTATTTGGCAATCTCAGTGTGTTAGTGTATCATATCAAGACACAGTGTACACCATCAGTGAAAAGTCTTTGGTCTAGTACCCATACAACAGTGTCTGTCATTTGTCAGAGCCAGAAACTATCATCTAGCTTCACTGCAGGAAATAGAGCAAAGACATGGCCATCCCATGCATTTCCAAATACTTGGTACACAGGGGTGTTGATAGATAGAAGGATAAAAGGATAGTGAGTCAATGGTTGCCCAAAGCCATTAATAAATTAATAGGTCTCATGTAAAAATCATTAGAAACTTGCCTCTAGTATGTTCACTAAATAGGGGCAAATTACTAAGGGGATTTTCTTGTAGACTTGCATGTGCTAGCTTCTTGACCCAGTGAAACCATGAGCAGCCAGCAGGCTGGTGTTACAAACATAATCAGTTCCACTCTGAATAATGGATAAGAACTCTTCAGTGGCCTTCTGCCCTCTAGTTTCTTGTTTTAAGACTCTCAATATTAGGATTGGCAAGAGACTTCAGGGATATGATACATTAATTGTGATAAACTATTTTGCTTTACATGGTTCATACTACAACAGAAGTCTTCATTGGTTGTCGTTCCTTCAGTACATAGTCCTAAGAGCTGACCCGTAAGTTACAACTGTGGTGCAAAACTGGAAGCAGAAATTAAGGAGTGGTTTTACAACTTCAGTCTTATCTGTGACAAGCCAGGCAAGAGGCTGATACCTCATAACATCCCAGTTATTTTTAGCCCAATTTATGTGTATGCAATTATCAAAATAAGTACTAGCACTTGCCTAGATGAACATTTAGTGTCAATTTATTGGAAATTATTTTGATACTTTTTATTCTTGAAGCTGTAAGATAGCCACACTCACTAAACTGGGCTTTGAGTATTAAGAGGTGCAAGAGCTAACAGGCTTCTTCATCGTGAAATAAAAAGCAGAAGGCAGGCACTAGATAGCTTTCTTAATTTCTTCAAAAATGCAAGCTTCTCTGGAAACAAAATACATGAGTACTTCTCACACTTTGTTCTAGGCTAGGTTTAGACAGTTACCTTCTAGTAGTTCCACTTGAAAGCACAAGCTTTTGAGATGCATTTTCCTGATACAAGTAGTAATTGCCAATTATATTCACCTTTCCCCTCAGGAACTTTGCATGTGTGGTTATGGCTCAAGAAACTGAACCAGTTATAAACCTATCTTCTTCTCCATATGACTGTTTTAGAAGATCAAAAAAGAAAAATATCAAACCTTCTTGCCTAACTAATTTGAATAATTTCCATTGTTTTCAGCTCGTTCTCAAACAGCAGCCCCATAGAAGACGCAGTCAAAGAAAGACTCAAAGTGAGTGAGCGGTGGAAGGAGGCTTTATTTCACTAAATGTAAAGAAACTAAAATAAAGATTACTGAGAAACTCTGAATGAGTATTTGTTTTAAAACAGAATCCAGCTGTTTCCCTTCCTTGTTCAAATCAACTATATAGTCACACTAAAGAAACACTGAATCATAAACTCCCTAGCATCCATTACAGCATAAGACAGTAATTATATACAGCAGGAAAGCTTTTAACACATGAAGTAAAAGCTTTAGCTACCTACAAAAACTGAAGCTGTAGGAAGGGGCTATATTGTTATCCTGAGATGCTAGGCAACAGGGAATCAAAGTTGGAGTACGTGCTAAACAACAGTTCCCTTGTGAAATGTTTCAAAGTGGTCTCCATTCCTCCGCTCTCCAGGAGTAGCTGTCCGATGTAGAAGAATTAGTGTGTGTATATATATCCACACGACACAAGAGTTGTCAACTGCTGCGTTACAATGCCATCCCCCTACCCACCTCTAATTTTAAAAATGCCTTTGCATGAAGTCCAAGCTTGTTTTTTTCTCCACTACCCCAGAAGTAGGGGCATTCAGTCCTTCCTCCTCTTTTTGGTCTCATGCTCATGTTCTTTAGGGCGGCTGCTATCTGATGGCCGTTTAGAACCACCGTGTTGCTTAGCTTCTTCCAGAAACTTGTCCAAACCAAATGGATCCTCCTCAAATTGAACTGGTCCATCTCTGCCCCTCCCCCTGGTGTTACGATCTGAGTTAGAAAACTCTTTGTCAGGAACAAACCTGCAGGAGAAAAGGTGACACTCAGTTGACTCTAACTTTAGAGTATTAATTAAGAACATTTCTTAACTTTATTTTCTTACCTATTGGTCTTTATTCGAGCCTCGAGATCATCACCATACATGTCCTTATCCACATTTTTACTTGGCCTGTAGATGTTCTGGGCCATATCCTTGCCACTTCTCCAAGGCTGGTCATAAACATTATAAATTTCATCCTCTCCTCCAGCAAAGCCACTGTCCATACCCTATGAAGAAGAAAGAACAGCAGTATAATACAAACGAGTCTGCAAAACTTCAGCTGATTTATTTTAACATCAAGATACACTGATGGTGTCACGCAGATACACAAAGATGGCATTGTGTGATTTACGATTTATTTAAATTCAAGCACTTCGTTAGGATATGAGTGGGTTTGGGTCTGGGATTAAGCTCAGAGAACATGACACAATCTTTATAAGCCTCAGTCAGGTCCACTTCTACTCTTCCAGAAAGCAGCAGGAAAGATTACAGACCATTCATATTTCAGAATAATGGATCACTTCAGACTACCCTGCAAGTACAGCTGTCTATAATAGCCAAGTACAATCATACAGAAATGTATATTATTCATAATTTCTGGAAAACATGATTTAAGCTGACTGATCCAAATCACACAGAGGCTTACATAAACTGTGAAAGTACAAGTGCCAGTAGAAGTGTTCACTTCTGATTCATCAGCTTTCTCTTCTGCCTGGGAGTCTTTCACTGGAGATGTGAACAAGTATGATTGACAAACTGCAGGTCTATTCAGGGACTTTCTGAAGCAAAATCTACTTTTTAGTCTCTGAATAGTATAAATTTTAGGGAAAATAATATTGCTTTTAACTATTTATATCTTCAGAAGAATTTTTAACATAAGCAATAATGGCAACAGAAAGTATTTACTTGCTTCTCTCTCAGAGCAGGTTTCCCTTATTCAGTCGGTACATTTGTACAAAAGAAGAAAATTAGGTCACTGCATCTTGAAGGCAAAACAGCTTCTTTCTCTCCACTCCTCAGTGAGAAAAAACCACAACAAAGCCACTTTAGCCCAGTTACATATTCTGAATATTCCATTTTTGTTGCATCAGCTATGGATAAAGGAGTTCAATAGTTTCCTAGCCAGTTATGTAGAGACTTCTTTCAGCGTGCATCCACACCATGCGTGAGAACAGGATCCCTTCAGTATTCGAGCCATACCCACTAAGGAAGGATGAGCATGTTCTCACAGAAAGCTACACAGCTGTGAAAAGGTATTTTTACCTTGCTCTGGTTGAACAGCCTCTGGTCATACTGGATTTCATTGGATGGCCTGGGGTTGGGTACCCCTAGGGCAATAACTTCACTGATATCTCTGTTCTCATTTCTCTGTAGCTTTGACCTGAATTAAAAATTTTAAATTTTATTAGGTCAGTAAACCATATTTGTTGACAGGCTCAACTGCAACCTGATCCTGTATTAGTTGTTAACAATTTGGTTCAGGAGCCTTGTTTTGACTGTTGCCATTCCTTACTAAGTAACATTTAAAGTTTGTCTCCTGGCAAATAAAAATTTGGGAAAGTTATGTTCAGCTGGGCATGACATTTAAATTTGCTTTCCACTATCTGCACTTTACATCAAGCTGACTTGGTCTAAAATGTAATTTTTTTTTTGCAAGAACCAGTGTAATTCTAGGAAGACTAAACAATTTTAAGATAGAGATTTTAAGCCTATGAAACCATTTGTGCTCAAAAATCTAACTGGCTGGGCTACACTCATAAATCTAAGCTTACATCAAATGAACAGCTTCAAGAAAAAGCCACTAATGATATTCTGGTCTCACCGAAGGTACGGGATCCAGGTTTCAACCTTTGCTGTCAACATGTTAACTGAATCTGAATATACTGAAGCTAAAGAAAAACCCACCTAAAACCAATACCCCCCTTCCTCCATTCATCTGGAAAATTCTAAATTTAGGAGAGTACTGCAGTACTCTTAACACAGTAATACCATTTCATACAATGAATGAACAGCGCTTCATTACAATGAATATCTCCACAAAGTAAAATTTAGGCACTTGCAACAAGCCAAAGGAAAAAGTCCAGTGTAATAGTTTCCCTAGTGGGGAACCCAGTGACAGTACTGGAATAAAGCAGCTTTCTTCTGTGACTCACCTTTTGTCAGGTGCTGCCCTGGAAAGATTTCTGTCATGCTGTCTCTCTTTGCGCCGGTCGTGTCTGATTTCATCTCTCTCTCTAGCTTCGCCATCATCTGAACAAATGCAAGATTGCTCATTACAGACAAATATTTGAAGCCTGAATTAACTATGCCACAGCCATTGGCACAGTGATTCAATTCAGTAGTCTTTTACAGAACAGAAGTGACCCTTAGCACTGTTTAAAACGTTCCACTTTAAACAAACCAAGCACGTGGAAAGCCACAGCTTTCTTACATCACAAGCAATTAACTGTCCTTGACAAAAGAGTTAAAGCAGACATAACCAACAACTATGCTTTCTGAACTTTCAAGATTTTATGATTCTATGACTGCCGGATCACTCTTTCAGTGAAGAAATTTTTTCTATTATCCAGCCTAAACCTCCCCTGGTGCAACTTGAGGCCATTTCCTCTTGTCCTGTCACTTGTTACTTTAGAGAAGAGGCCAGCACCCACCTCACTACGATCTCCTTTCAGGTAGTTGTAGAGAGTGATGAGGTCTCCTCTCAGCCCCCTCTTCTCTAGACTAAACAACCCCAGCTCCCTCAGCCGCTCCTCTGTGCTCCAGACCCTTCTCCAGCTTCGTTGCCCTTCTTTGGACTCGCTCCAGCACCTCAATGTCCTTCTTGTGGTGAGGGGCCCAAAACTGAACACAGGATTCAAGGTGCGGCCTCACCAGGGCCGAGTACAGGGGCACAATCACTTCCCTAGTCCTGCTGGCCACACTATTTCTGACGCAGGCCAGGATGCCGTTGGCCTTCTTGGCCACCCGGGCAAACTGCTGGCTCATGTTCAGCCGGCTGTCAACCAGCACCCCCAGGTCCCTTCCCAGCCACTCACCCCCAAGCCTGTAGTGTTGCAGGGGGTTGTTGTGACCAAAGTGCAGGACCCGGCACTTGGCTTTATTGAACCTCATACAATTGGCCTCGGCCCATCGGTACAGCCTGTCCAGATCCCTCTGCAAGGCCTTCTTACCCTCAAGGAGATCAACACACCCAGCCAATTTGGTATCAATGTCATTTCAATCATTATCACAGTGGTTGTGATTTAGTTAGATTAGTAGTTTTGGGGCCTAGTGGCCTACGGAACTATAGTTCTGCAAGACCAGCTGTAACAACACAAGAAACAGGATATTGCATTTACCATCTTTGACCATTTAAATATGTTTTAGTTCTTGTAAACAAAGTTGCTCTTCATCTGCAATAAGCCTTTTCTAAAGAAAAAATAGAACAGTCCATGAAAGCCATTACTTGTACCGATCCATTAACAACTCTGAAATTCTCAACAACATCCTAAACCTGTATACACCAACACACTGTTGTGAGGTTCAAATTCAGATGCCATCAAAACAGCCAGGGAATTAACCAAATTCACTGTCTGATCAAGTAAAGACAGGGAGAACAGATGTCATGCTGTATATAATTACAGTTGATATTTAGGTATTATAAGTTCTTCGGTTACTTCTCCAAACCCACACTTCAGCAAGTGTTAAAGAAACTCCACAACATCTTAATAACAAAGAAATGTACCTTTTTCAACATGTGTTTTAATCCCTGCTCTTCTCTCTCTGGCTTTCTGAGCCATTTCTCGGAGCTTTTCCTCATGTTTCTCCTTCTCTTTCTGAGCCATCTTCCTCTCCACCTGGGCACGCATCTCTACAGCCTCACGAGCCTGTACACATAAGGCATAGTTAAAATGACAGAAAGCTAGCAGTTGGGACGCAAGCAGATCTTTTGTCATGGAGTTATCCAGTAAACAGGGCAGGAATCAAGCCACAAATATCAAGTTCAAAGCCAGACAGCCATAGCAGAGCTGAGAAACAAGACCCATGACCTCCAATAATTTAACCCACACTGAGCCACTGATTTGAAGATACTGGGGATAAGACCTTATGTCCTATGTTAGCCAAGAAGCAGGACAAATCAAAAAAGCTACAGCCTATTCACAGTTCATTTTCCCCAAGGAAATAAACAAAGAAAGTAAACCCACATGGAACAAAACCATTTAAACAACCACCTCACCTTTCTGTCAGCTATATAGAGAGCCTCAGCAAGCTTTGCAAAATTTTCATTAATATGAACAGTCTGCAATCCTCTGCCATCTGCAGCCAGACGCTTGTCTAATGGAATGGTGTAACCCTACAGTGGAAACAGAGGTAATCACAGAAACTAACATTATCCATAATAACAAACACTATTACATTTGTTGTGTAAGAAAACAAAAACACACACAAAACTCACAGTCCATTATTAATATGCCTCAGTGGACTTCCTTTACATGTACTTCAAATTGGTATCAGGTAATACTAAGCTCCCCTCCAATTCCACACCCCCCAAAACCTGAATCACAATTTACCTTTAAGTTACATCTCAGTATGAATGACAGTTTTTGATTGATAAGGCCCACTCTTTGCTTTAAGAACTACAGATAATAGCTTTCCCAGTCTCTAAGCTGTTTTACCATTTGTGCTTAAAAATTGTTCTCCCTAAACTGTTTTTATACCTGTTAAGAGGTTAGCTGATTCAAAATGAGAAAGGGGGAAGGCTGCCAGCAAAAGCAAGAGACACTAAATGCCAATTTTGCCTTCAAAAGCTGAAGCCTAGAAGTATTTCTAGATATTTTAAGTTGTTTTAGAGAGCTCTACAAAATTTTTGCTTTGGTTTTAGCATCTGTAACCTAAAATTTGATCTACTAATTAGTGTCAGTCCCAGTTATACAGCTGTGTTGGGGCAGAAAAAAAAAGATAACATCCAAACATGCAGCTCTTCCTTCCTCCATTTCAAGAGGCTACCTCACAACAGCTTGGTAAATTTGAGAATGATCAGACAAGTTACTGCAGCAAATTATAAATTCTCCCTTCTCTCTGAACATAAACTTACCACTGATAAAAATCAAAGGGACAGGACATACCTACTCAAACAAGACATAAAAATAGCTAAGCTAATTTGTTATGAAAATTAGTGACAGAATGCAACATGGAGAACTTTCCAGAAATTCAGACTGCAGTACTTAATAGAAACATGCTTGGTTCTCTGTGAATTACCCTTCCCTTTTTCAGTTTAGATGTTTACTTGGTGGGTCCAGAGACTTTGGTTTCAGACTCCAAATACTGCACTACTATGGCAATTTTAACTAATGCCATTTTTTCCTCTCAAAATGCATAATCTCTGCCATGATGTAATGCATTCTCAGTTCTATACTCCTGCCAGTTTGACGACCCAGATATGCCAAAGAGAAAAACTGCGCTGTGCAATTGTGTGTTCTCCATGCTGGAAGCAGACAGTTTACCTAACTCTAAAGGTTTAAAACCAGTATTACTCAAGCTTAAATCATTCATAGAAGTATCCCAGTGGGGTACAACATTAGAAAGGCGAATTTATGACAACACAATTACCTTTGCATTTTTCCAGTTTGAAATGCATGGAGGAATTTTCCACTCTTGCTGCTCTTTCACAGTCATCTGATTTAAGAGAGGAAGCAAAGTCATCTTTAGTTTTATAGCAAAAGGAAATACTGTTTTCTTTCTCAAAGGCAGCTGCGAAACTACTGAAATGAATTAGAGTACAAAGTTGAGGACACTGCTACAAAAAACTCAACCCTTCCTAGCAGCAATAAGATATTAATTTCTGTACTGTACCTTTGCCAACACTGAATAAAGTAATGACAGCTTTTCAGCCATCCTCTTAAACTTTCATCACACAGACCAGAACTCACAGCCAGATTGTTAATATTTGCACATTTAATGGCAATTCAAGTTGTAGGAAATTGATGAACCACCACCACACTCATGTATCAGAAGGAAGCTAATCCTTAACACAAGCTAGTGTTATTAAGGATTAGTTTAATAGTATGGTCTAAAAGCAACACACACTCAGTGTACCAAGGCTGTCCATGACATGGACAACTCCAGCTATGCAGCCCTGCATAAAATATATGAGAAATCGACTCAACCTCTGACAAGGTACGCAGGAAGAGAGCTACTTTCAGAACTGCCCAAAAAACCCCAAAAACTTGCACCAGGCACCAAGTTTATCACTTAACATCACATCAAAGGAACAATAAAGAGAAGGTGCATAAAAAAGAACTACATCAAAGTAGAATTTGTGAACCTGTCTACAACTAAAAATCGAGACCAGCTATGGCATTTCATACCTTTCTACTAGGAGAGTGCATTACAGGCGCTGGAGGAGAAGGTGGTCCACGTGGAATCTTCTTGTTAATTCTGAACAATTAAGAAAACAAATACAATTGTGTTGTATATGGAAACAAATTACAGAATACTCTGTTTGCCATGAATAAGTTTTGAATAGTTACTTGAATCTTGGCGGCTCCATGGGGTCCTTCTGCATTTCCACCATTCGAATAACTCTCTGTTTTGCTCCAGAGTTGAAGGCAACACCTTGCTGCGATGGTGTGTACCTGAATAAAACAGCCAAAGCACTCATTTCTTTGGACACAGCTAGATAGTCCTTTCCCACCTCAGTTCACTGTTCTAGCTACATTTTCTTTTTATCCACACCAGATTAAGACTCTTCCACTGTGAATGCCAGAAGCAGACAACTGCACAGAGGATTCTGGACCAAATGCAGAGAATCAACTACACCAGACAGAATCCATCTTCCCGGGGCTATATTCTCATGTTCCAACCTAGATTCCAAAGTAGAAGAAATAAACTAATAAAGTACACAGAGCATGTCACAATACTCTTTTACCTATGTCTGTGGATCCCTGGTGACTACTTGCTGGTTATTAAGAATCTCTTCACGTACTTTTTTTCAGAATTCACCTCAGGCCAAGTCTAACCCTGCCATGGAATTTTTCTGTGCTTGCAGCAGAAAATCATCATAAATTATTATCAGCCTCTTAGTAATTCCAATTATTTCCAGTTGCTCATTTTATATAAGGGAAGAACCTTGCTACATGCCTTGTCTTGGGTTGAAACTTCCAGTAAAGACTCTGTTTCCAGGGCAGCATCATTCATAGCGCTCCCTGACAAATCTACATTTTGCTGCTAACACAATAACCCCTCCACAACATGCCACAACTCATGAGATGTTAAGACATTTCAACACACTTCAAGGTAGGTTATAACTACTGGGTTAATTCAAAACACATAAACCAGTTTCATATTATTTCCAGAACAGAATTCAAGAGGAGTTTCTGTTCTCAGGAATTCAAGGAATATCCTAATTTTAATCAATTTTGTATATAACATTATTGTACACACACTGCACCACTACATACCGAATGTACTGTGCAGGAGCTAGTTTGTCAGCTGCTCGAACTGGCATGGCTGCTGCAATTTTTTGGGAGACTGATTTCTCCAAGGCTGCTCTTGTCTTCTCTGTTATCTGAAGACAAAAGTACCACAGAATGCATCTCATCACATAAGCAAGACATACAATACACCTCTGATAACTAGGCACATCAGTGCATATAATACCTCTCTGATTGCCTCCTCGTCTGGTCTTTGCAGTTCAGGATCGTCCACATTCATGACCTCTTTTGGCACAAGATCTGTGTATTTGCTGTAAATAACCTGAAAAACATTGTATTTTATTAATGCTGGTGAACAGGAATAAATGTACGTATTTCAAAGGAAATATTTCAGGCCTAGATTATATTTTAGGTACTAATTAAAACTTGTATACAACTCTAAAGGCATTACAATTACATAGTCTTCAATGACACCCATAGAATAAGAATGTACTCTAGACCTCATTTTACAGATGGAATAATCGAAGAAAAGAAGCCATGTGATTAAATATAATTATGTAAATCACTCTCAGAGCTGGGATTAGACACCAGTTTCCTGTCTCCCTTTCCTACTCTTCCTTTTTCAGGCTCCCCAAGACAGAAATATCCAAATTTGTACTTCTGTTTTCAAGGATTACTTAAAAATTTGGTACAAGTATTTTTTAGCATCTAGATTTTTTTATGTCATTACATTTGCTATATTCTTGAAAAAAATAAATGCTTGAGAAATCTGTTCTTTATGCTTTCCCTCATATGGGTACTTCAGTCTTGCTAAAACATGGTGTCACTAGTTTTAAGCCTCTATTTTAAATATAGGGATAGAACACTATTAGATGGCTACAGGGAAAAATGTATTGCATTAACATTTCACATTTGTCCAACAAAGTAACATCAGGAAGTCTTGGTTCAAAGAGTTAAAAGTCATTGCTAGTATTATTTCAGGTTCATTATAAAGGGCATGTCCAACTACGAAATTGACCTTTAGCCTCAGCATTAATTTGTCACACAAGAGCCATTTACTGCTTCTCATCCTTCAGTCCTAAAATTTTAATCCTTTGAATTAGTATCAATAATATCCTAGCTTCTCAGATGCTGAATGAAGGACATTTGAAGAGCAGTGTTCCCCTAAGGTAATTAGCTTTAAGTCCAAGTGTCCTGCTGCATGAAGAACAAAGTATGCTGAAAGAGCTCAGAGTATTCCAGAAGACAAAGACGAAAATAAAGTCTAAGAGATGCTCTAAAAACTACAGTACACTGAGGTACAAATGAGCTACATGAACTAGTGAAACCCTTGCAAACTTGCATGCAAGTAGCAATCTGCATTAATGTGGAAGAAATCAATAATATGGATTAAACTAGCCTGAAAATACCAAAATTTTTGTCTCCATCAAAAACTTGGTACACTTGCACGCTCTAACTGGAGTCCTCTTTTGAGGTGATATAGATATGCAGATAAAGATGTTGCACTGTGTTGTTTTTAGAGAAATTTACCTTATTTCAACAGTAATATTGAGACATTTTATTAATCTAAGATAAACAGCAGACTCCAAAGCAGAATCTCCTTTTAGGCAAAAATGAAATAGTCAATTTTTGGTACAGCTAGACGATTCCTTCTCTGGCTGGGGCAGCCTTAACAGGCAGCAATTAGAAATCTGCATGCCATTGTCATCAGAAGGAGAACAATCTTACTTAACTAGTTGTGTAAGATACTGTAGCTCATGGTAGGATTTAGACATCAATCACATTCAGAGTTTCATAAGACACTAGATACAGGCAAGCATCTTGAGAGAAACTTCTTAATTTATAACACATAAATCCCTCCCCTCAACATGTTTTATTCTGTATATCCACAGCAGCCCTGTACAGTGCTCATCAGTTCTATGTGTAAATTGAGAAGTTACCATCAAGCACTGCAGAATGAATTCCTTCCTCGTCAAATAATGTTTTTGCCATATAAAGCACATAACATTTCAGAAGTCATTACAATTACCTGGTTGGAAGCCTGGCACACAGACTAGAGGAAAAAAAAAATGGCAATACCCTCTCAAATCGAGCTCTACCAGGAAGATAAACACATTACGAGTAATGAATACCTTTGATTATTTTATTTATATTCACATTCTCTTGACCTGTTCCATCGCTATGACAGGAGTTCCTTCAATAATGGAACTACTGTCTCTTGTGAATTTTTCAATTGAATTCACAATCTTGAGAAAAAATTGCAGGTAGATTTGTGGTTCTTTTTTTCCTCCTTTAACACGTAAGCCACAGCCTTGGGCCACTAAGAAGAAATTAAACTCCTGCACAGAAAAATCATCCTTGCCAGAAAAAAGTAATGGACCCAGTAGTTCCATTCCTTGATTTCACTCTCTCTTCTGTCTTCATAAAAACACAGGAAGCAATTACATTAGATCCTTATTTTCCTAATAAGGGGACAGAACATCAGTCTCACCAAAATATATCAATTATTGATGCATTATTTTAGCCTAGCTTTTAGTCACGTCAGTAGAGAAAGTACTGGAAGACTCTATAGCAGTGTAAGAGCTGACCACACAGCTAATGCAGGAAATTCTTCGTCTGGACAACCTGATGGAACTCCATCCTCAGATCTATAAAGTCATGTATCCAGGTTCATCAACATTATCCAGCATTTCATGTCTAGCAGACTTTCTGCCAGCCCCAAACAGGAGGCTTGTCAAACTACCTCACTCATGTCAGCATTTTTCAAGGAAAATTCTCTGCAGCAACTATTTTTTAAATATGTAAGGGAACAGATGCAAGAGGGAGATGAACCACTGCAACAGCAGAAACTGCTGACAAGCCACCTAGATACAGGGTGCAGGTGATGGAACTGCTGCCTCTACAAGAAGGCAGAATACTAAATTCAACTTCAAAACCCATAAATTGTAGCAAAAGCAAAATTTGCTTCTTAACTGAGATGAAACAAGTAGATCATAGAATAGGATCAGCAATTCCATCTCATTCTTGCAGGCTACTAAGTATCTATTTCTCTTAGCTCTAAGTATTAAGATTGAAGAAATATTTGAATTATGACTGCAGGTCTCAGGACAATAAAACTTTTGTAAGTAATCCTACTGATACTGTACTATCAGAAGTTCTCTCTTACAGAAAATATTCCACATTATTCAACTCAACACAGATCACTGAAGAACTGCTCCCTATAACATCTCTGCTAATTCTCTCTCCTGCAAAACAAATCAAGCAATAGTAACAAAATAGTTTCAAATATCTCGTTTTCCCTCAGTTTTACCCCCTGCCTTTAACCACAATACTTAATTTTTAGCCTCAGCACTTATATCCAGCTGGTTGCAGTCAGAATGAAGCTGATTCAGAAGGCAGGGCTCAGGGTTAGGAACCCCCAATTCCAGTTCTACGGAGTCCAGTTTTAGAAAAGCCACTCATCTGTTCCATCCTGGTAAGTATGGCCACAAAATAAGGATATAACTGCTTCTTTACAGATGCCATACAGAAAGTTAATGAATACTGTCACAGATCTTCATGAATCAAATATGACAAATGTTAACAGCTTAAATTTAACTTTACCTGCTCCAAGTATCTTCCTAACTCTGAGCCAAATAACGCCCAGTGAAAGATTAGTGAAAGATTATAATTTCTAGTTCTTTTTCAAATACACTTAGATCCCTATCCAAACACTTCTATTAGATGTTAAATCCGATCCTACAGGTTGGTAAAGATGCATTTAACAAGCTGTAAAAATTAGGGTTTAACTATAATTTTTTTTCCTTCCTATTTGTCTCACAGCTTCCCCAATATCAGTACAATTACTAGCTCCAGTCTACTCATCTGCTCCGAAGTATTTTTTTATGCTTTGGGATAAGTCAAACTTCTACTTAGTATCAAGTATTCAATACTTAGCATCACAAAACTCTGTGAGTGTAATTAATATTTTAGCACCTTCCTCTTAATAAATATTTAAAGACACTACAGAAAGTCTGAAAGAACCCCAATTAAAGTCTCCTCAGTAAAAATATTGCCACTGTTGTTGTTTCTGTTTAGTCTTACTTCTTTCTATCACATGAGAACATGGAGTCTGATTGAACACATTTTTTTCAAAGGTACTGCAGTAATTTAGATGAACAGGATGAGAATATACAAGATTTGATACTTTTCTGACACTGAGTATTAGTTAAAAATACAATCCTATCGGCATTAACTTTCTGCAACTTTGGAAACTGTAGGATCACTTTAAAACAACAATAAAAAATTATCTGCTAAAAAGAAAGATTTTCCCTGATATTCTTAGAATGCTCACCCTATATTTTGTTTGAGGTAAAGTTCACCTTTTGTTTTTCTGTTTAGATAGGTTTTTCCCCTTCCTCATTTGCAGTACGACATGAGGCATATTACATACCCATAAGCTTTTCAAGGCATCCTAAATTAAAGCAGGAGAAATTAAATTATTTTGAAAACAACTATTCATATCTATCAACTAAAACACCCTCTGTAGTTAACTCTCTTTAGATTTTCTTTGGGTTACCCTATTCTTTACAGGTGATGCTTGGTCTGAGAAGCAGCTGGTCAAACATTTGGTGGTGCCTCAGCAGTTTTTCAGACCCCAACACCTGCTTAAGAGAATTCAAGTTTTAATGTAGTCCACTGTTACATTTGAAAAAGCAGACGTAGATACTCTTGAAAGTGGACTTAGGAGACCCGAGTAACTGGTTTCCTCAATACTAGTTAGGACTTCAAGATAAAGTGTCATCTCTTTGTTTTTAGAGAGGCTACTGTATACGGGAAACTGAAGTCAGTTTCCATTAAATTTGACAAGAACCTTGCCATCACTGAACTTAACACAAACATTTTGGAGTATTACCACTGGCAATACTTTCTGCTACAATTGAAAAATAAAATAAGAGCACCCAACAATACTGAAAACAGCCATAAGCTTCAAATGTTACATTAGTAAGACACAAAGCGTAGTATTCTAAAAGCTGAACCATGTTTTCTGTTTTTTTTCTGTCCCCTCTCTCTACACACTGAAATGAGGCTGCCTGTGATCAAGCTGGTTTTCAGTTTCTTGCCTTCACTGGAAAGCTCTCTACTGAAAGCTGCTAAGCTACGAGGTAAGTTTTGTGCAGACTCTCACCATTTTTGCCTTACCTTTTAACCACATAACAGAGAAGATCACATAGTGATCCCAGTCAAAATGCCTGTATCTGTCTGACTTTAAGAAAACAGGACTGTACCACCTCAAGGAGGCAATCAATTTGCCTAATGCTAGACACCAATGACTTTAAATATATGCAATGTGTACATACAACTTTTACAGGTATACATGCAAGTCTACATATTTGAAGAAATATTACCTTGTCCTTTGATTGTCCTTGTCGAGCAATTGCATCGTATTTTATTTTTCCTTCTGCATCCACCTGCACAGCCAAAGCATTGGACATTTTCTTCTTTCGGCCCATATCCAATGGATATTGGGCCACATGAATTTCTGGGAAAGCACCCCCATCTCCAAAATCCTACATAGAAGAAAAAGTAGTGAATGACTGAAACACAAAAACATGGTATAACATTTGGACAGGTGGGAAATGGAATGAAAGAGTAGATTGATTTTAACAAAATAAAACATTGTTAGAATGCTCTAGTGACTTGACTATTTTAGCTGGTAACTTACACTTACTGAAAGAAAAGACAGTGAAGTGCATAGACATCTTGCAGTAACTATTCCCTGCACAGTCTTCCACTGAACATCCCACATTCAACAGTAAGTTACAGAACAAATGTTCAAGTATTACACAGAACAGAAGTCAAGTCATTCCTTAGAATTTTCTGCATAACTCTTGATCTCCTAAGAATAGGTTTTGAGTTTTTTCAATTATGACATTTCAGGATCACTGGACAATGGTTATACTTTGGAAACATTTATTGCTTTTCAAGGTTCTGCATTTGTTTATGATGCAGAAAGGGGTCCTTAACAGTCTTTTTGAGATGCGTATAACTTTGTGATCCAGTGATGCTGAAAACTCTCTGGAAACCTCCAACTGGTTTCTTAAGTTCTTTTGCTAACACTTAAAAAGAATAAGCACTAAAATATTAACTTTAGTAATCAACAGTGTAGGGAGGGAACTAAAATGAAGGTATGATTTGTACCATCATATGCTTTATTACATGCTGAACCTACATAAAAATGTTTCACTTTAGAGAACTGCTGGAACTACTATTTGAAGTCACCTTCTCTAGAGCCAATGCATCACCACAGTAGCATTGGATCCATTTTTACAAAAACGGGACTCAGACATAAATGAATGCAAGGCTATTACCAGCTCATGAAAGGATGGCATTTGGGGACACTGCAGGATCACACATGAAATACTGTATCCAAACCTCGATAGCATGCCTTGTCCCAAGAGCACTGTCTTCTGACTCATCAGAGCAGGTCTCAGATGTTATGTCAAGTACCACTGCAAAATCTGCAGGGTTTTGTGGCTCAGTGAGAAGCTGTACTAAAACAATTTTGTAACCAGAGCTATGCATCTGTATTTTCCCTTCTACCTTGTAAGACTTCCAGTTAAAATTATATTAAACCGGTAAAAATTACAGCTATACACATACAAAATCGTACAGAACCCTTTTGCCAGTAACATACTTGAACAATGAATATCTGACAAATTTTCAAGTTTCCTTCCAACTCTAACAATTTTCTCCGCCATTACCAGCTATCTTTTGTTACACCAAGAACAGAATACACACGAGTATGCTGTTCTCCAATATACACATATTCACTTATTCCAGCTATAATCTGGAACATGTATTTAACAAATAATGACAGAGGAACAATATAGCTGTCTTCCTCAGAGGATTCTTGCCTTCACAAACCGTAAAGTGAAAGGACCATAGACCTATTTCTATATTACAGTATAACAATCTATGAAGGGAAGAATCCTTATAACATCCTGTTTTCATTAAATATTTTAAGTAATCTGATGAATTAGAACGATTTCCCCCGACCCCCAAATATATCCAACAGTCTGGATGGAAATTCTGCATATGATAAGGCTTTGCACAATTCTGTGCTACACTTGAGATTTCCCCATTAGCAGACACACTACTATAGTGTGAATTTAAATATCTACCTCTAGCGCCCGTGGTATCCATCCTTTCCGGTAACCATATGGAGGAGGCTCCCTTCGTGATGAGACTAGAGCAGTCTGCCTAGATCTTTGAGCTCTTGCTCTTTCTTCTAGTTCTAGCTGGTCTTGAGACAGCTGAGTTGGAGCTGGTAAAAAACTGCGCATCCATAGACAGACACCAAAAAAAAGAGAGGCATAACAAGTTAATTTTGATAATTTCACTCAATGACACCCAACTACGCTTGAGTCTACTATTAAATTATTACTTTCTCTACAATCACTCTATACAGATTGAGAAACAATTTGTGAACTTTGAGTATTGTGCTCATAAAGGAGATGACAGTAACTTCTGAGGTTACAAGGGAAAAAGCCACGGGCACTCTCAACATTTTGGAAGATCCATGTAAAATCTGATGCTAAATTCATCCACATTCACATCTTGTTTGAATGGGAGTGTGTGACAATGCCCACTCTCCAACAGGAACATCACACACCACTGCGCATTCTTTCCACCACTACGGAGCAGACAAAAGTATGCCCTTAGTCCCAACGACTTCCCCTTCCTTCCTCTCAAAGCAGACGCACACAAAAAGATCTGTCACCCAGCTCCCCACTTAACGCCAGATACTTCCCGGCCAACACCAATTACTCGAAACACAATTTCTTGGCTTCCCATTTTTCAGCTCCTCTACACTACGGGGCCCTTTTCACGCTTCTTTTAAGGAGCGCCCACCCCCGAGAAAGCCGGCACTCCAGGACAGCCCACTGCAGCAGCACTCCCCAGGTGTACGAGAGCCGCAGCAGCTGGTAACAAAGGCCCCTCGCCCTGCTTCAAGGCGAGGAAACCTCGACAAACCCCCCGCGGACCCCCCCACCTCCAGCCGAGGCGGAGCGCCTTCTTCCCGCAAAGAACACGCGAGGGAGGCAGAGCCCCGAATCAGCGGCGGTCCCCAACGTCCCCTTCCCACCAGGACAAGGCAGGGCACGCCAGCTCCCCCGGCCCTGACCCGGCCTTCGCCGCC